GTAATTACAGAAGAAATATTTACTGTTTAATGATTCTTCGTATAGAGAATTCGCGCTGCTTATGATTATTGTGCATCTGATTGCAGTAAAATATATTGCTGTTTTTTTTTTCGGGGTATTTTTAATACTGGTGTCGTGTATATTCTGTAGGAATAATTTTATTTGTTTATCAATCATATAATTCGCAAAATTATTCTTGACTGATATTTGCTTTATGTGTTTTATTTCACTCAGAAATATTCTTTAGGAAGAGGAATTTAGATCTATTTAGGAAGTTTTTATTTATTTATTTATTTATTTTTATCACTAATATTTTATATCTGTCCGGGCATTGGCAATCATATTTTAGAAGTAATTATTCGTATTGATGAGTTGTTTTAAAACGGGTAGCTTTTAAATACTTGTTTGTTCTATATCGACGTCAAGCGGTTTGGATTGACGAATTGGAGAGCCGATTTCGAATCCAAGTCAAATCAATTACATTCACTTATGTGCTAATATACTTGGAAAAGTTATTAACCATCTCCTTCTCTCTCCCCCCCCCACCAGCTACGGGTAAATAGCAGGACAGACCAGGTTCAGATCTGGTCTGTTGCAGAATAAAATGGCGCGAAAAAATCTGCCTCGTCAGTCATGTATCGAAACATACATGATCGCCTAAGTGTGTGTCACACATGGCATATACCTGAACTGATGTACGTCAAGGAATGGAATTTTGTCATTAGCCATGAGTTCGTATGGAAATTTTAAAGATGTCCATAATCCGAGCAGTCAGCCATTATTCTACCGTGCATATAAGCTAAAAACGGGTAAATAAGAAAATCAGTTTTGTAAAGTGTAGTTTTACGTTGCTTATATTCAATTTAATTATTTACAAAAAATATTAAAACATTATTTTCATTTAAAAAATTTTAGATTTTAAAAATAAAATTTATTTAGCTTTTTATCTACTTCAAATTATCTCTCTATAATGGAGCTATACATTCTTTTTTTCGTTGTCATCATTATCGCCTCTTTTCTCTTTGGGAAGTATGGCCGCAGATACAGCAGTGCCTTTGGCTTGTTCTTCCGGAGCTATTTGCAAGCAAATACTACAGGAAATGACGTGAGCTCACAGATCCTCGTACACTGTAAGCTCGAGATATACTAGAGTTTCCAATTAGTCATTTAGACTTGAAAAAAGTGATGATATTCAATGATCTTCAATGAAAACGCTCGTCGTTTAAGGGTTAAACACGAAACAACTCACCCCACTACATAGTTGGAAAAACCTTTCTTCGTACTGTCTACAGTTTTCACCTGTCAACCACAAATGTTCATGTGTTTGAGACTAGGAAGGAAATACTACGAAGACGTCCGTTCTATAAGGATGTGAAAGTGAAGAATCATCCTAAAAGAAGCAGCAATGAGGTTCCCGGGAGGCGGGTATAAATGCACCCATTCAAAGGTGGAATTCCATCACTGTAAAGAAAGATTAAGTTGAGAAATATATTGGGAATTCTGAGACATTTGTGTTTGTTTCGGTCTGTTTTTGACGCTTCTATTCTGTAATTAAAAGTTACACAATTTACACGGTTTAGATCTCGTTCTGATAACAAATGTGATCTATATAAATAAATGCGAATGTCAGTGTGTCAGTATGTCACACTTTTCAACTTTACTCCTAGAGGCTGGAGCCCAACATATCATACTATTACGGAATCAGGCCAACTCTGTGAGCAAATTAAAAACATTCCTGCCAAGATCCGGACCCAGAATCCTGAAATCTTTGATTCCCAAATTTTCATTACTGCGATTAATTTCAGTGATATTTTACGTGATTTTTTTACGACAAATTTTTTTCTTTTCTTTTTTTTTTTTGTACGAGAACAATTTTTATAACTTAGAAATAAATTTGGAAATAATTGAAATTAATTGCCAAATCCAGCGAAAATCACCAATGATATAAAAATAATTGTTTGTACGGAAAGTAAGGATCAGCGTATATCAAATTGTCTTTAAATCAAGTGGCGTCAAAAGAATTATCGTTGAACTTTTAAAAGGTAAACTTAAATATTAATGCAATACTTAAATGCAGCGATAAATTTTGAGTTCTTCTGTAGTTTATTGTTGCCTATCGCAAACGACAGCAGTCTGCCTCGCAAAAAGAAATCTCCGGCAACAGAGGACCAGATTGCAATCAAAAGAGCCAAGGCTGCAGCGAGGAAAAGAAAATCCCGTGCAAAGCAAAATCCAGATCAGACGGCAGCAAAGAAAGCTTCAATGCTGAGAATATGCAAAGACAGGGACTCTCAAACTTCTGAACAAGCCGAAGGCCCAATCAAAAGCCCTCCGCGGGAACTAGCGTAAATGTTGCCCGATAAGGCGTCTTTTAAGCTTGTGATGATATATATATATATATCACCAAACAATTCAGCATCACTTAAGAAATTTGAACAACAGCAACAACTAAAATTAATAGCATGTAACTGGAAGAGAAAATAATGACATAATTAAGATGTTGACGTTCCGCACTATTTCAAACAAAAGTTTAGGAAGGAAACTCTCATCAAAACTGAAGAGAGCGATGTTAACCATTTTACTGAAAAAACTGTTTTAAGAGAAAGATTTTATAAATTTAAACGGAGCTGAACGTCAATGAATGTTTCCTTATAAGGAAACGGCTAATATAATTACCATTAACATTAACTATTTCAAATACTTTTGAAAAGTGTGGCATAGCGCTAGGTGCTTTACAAACTCCCCAGCTATCGCATTTCCGGTAGAATCTTCCCGATTTGCAAGTCCTACCCCTCGGATAGTTCTTTGTTAAGCGCCAGTTCTCTAACACCTTTGAGATAAATACAGATCTCCCCAAGGTCCTCTCTTTGATCCTACACTTTTCCTGCTATATATTGACGATCTGCCTCAGGAGCTTTCCAGATAACTAGTAAATATATAAGCAGAAGATACTACATTTATTAAAGCACCCTCAAATTTAAATGACCAGGACTTGGCCCTTGATCTCGCCTCTGACAGCTAATATTCAATAACCGCTAAAACTAATCTAGTAACATTTCATATTTATAAAGCAAATCCTGATTTTTTTCTTTCTTCCTGTCATGATGAACGGTTGTACTCTGAAGAAGTCTTCTTGCCTTGGGACTCAATCTCACATCAGACATCAAGTGAAACTCGTATACACTATCCACCGCTGGGTACGCTGAACAAAATTGTCGTCTTCGTGTACCCGCTCCAGAAAGTACCCGACTTCTCGTGTCACTTCTCTATCTTTACATTAGACGGATCATACCCAGCAAAGGAGTATCGTTGAAATATCTGGGTTGGATCTGATCCAGTCTCGGCCGAATTGAAAAGCTTTTGCACGGCCTTGTGGGTGATGAATTGTTTTCCACTCTACAACTCCTTTCTCGTTGCTATTCTCTCGCTACCCTACTGCTATTTTTATGGCAGATCTTCGGGTGAACAACAATCGATGTTTCCACCAGTCCAGACCTTCAGAGCTATGATCCAATACATTACAAACTTAGCAGCCACGACTGGTGGCAGACGAATGCTGAAAAATAAATCATTACTAAATATCAATAACTGAGAACATTTTTCGCAAGAAACCTGTTAGTGATATCCAGTGTTACAGTTTAAATTTATCGAGGTCGGCGTTGAAAGGAAATTTGCAACACAGATATTGGCAATAATGAAACATCACTTTACAGATTTTGAACTGCCGTTATCCTAACTGTGTGATATCCCTATGCTGAATACATGTGGATGATATCCAGTTTAGCTGATTAAAATAATTCAGCTATACTGCAAAAATGTTTACAATATGATATTGCTTAATCTTCTAGAATCTATGGTATAATTTTAAGAACAGTTGTAAAATATTAAATGAAATTTACTGAATTTAGCTATGGCATAAACTTTTATAGGAAGAAGTTCTTAATAATATAACATTTTCCTTAATTTTTCCCAAGGAAAAACATGCTTGTCATTTATTTAGAAAGAACGATAAAATTCACCGTTCTGGGTATGACGATAAACTACATCCAGCAGCAAAGCCTTGGATCAGGAGGTTTTGAGGAGCGTGGAACCACCTCTTAATTGCTGGTGTTCCCAGGTCCACCCTGACCCGGGGTGGTAGCACCTGTTAGGGTCCCAACTATGGGCAAATAGTTGACACACAAACTTGTGTAAAAATAGGTTTTAATACCAGAAATACTTTGTAATAAAAAAAATATTACCAGCAATAATTTTTGAAGGAAAAATTATTATCAGCAATACTTTAAAAAAAAAAGTAACTGCAATACAAACAGCTATACATTCTTTGAAAAAATATGACCGGCTATAGATTTCTTCAAGGAAAGATATTCCCAGAAATAGATTTTTGAAGAAAAACATTACCAGCAATAAAAAATTTTGCCGGCATTAGATAACAGATTGAGGTTGATATACCGTAAAACAAACCAAACCAAACCAAACGATAAAATTCAATATTATTTACATTATTCGGACAGTTATCCTCATCTTCATTGCCATATTCACAACGTGCAAGTATAGGCGTACAACGGTCGAAAAATTGTGAATATAGCAATGAAGATGAGAATAACAGTCCGAATAATGTAAATTATACAAGTAATCATAATACCTCATCTCAGAGATATAGACAGAAAATTCAATATACTTTTTAAAAAATACAAATTATTCATAAAAATTAAAATTTATTATATATATGTTCATTGTCTTGAAGAAAAGTATCGTAGAGAAGAATATTAAATTGACATTGTAATAAAATTCTTAAGAATTTAATTTTTTGTCCATTTCGCACCGAAAAGCTTTATTGACAAAAAATCTTTCAAGTACAAAGAAAAGAAAAGAAAAAAAAACTATACTGACTTCAGTATTTTGAAAAATAGACACAGGTCAAAAAGTAAGCATTTCTTTTAAAAAAATCTGAAATAGATTCCTGCAATAAACTTTCACTATCGAGTGTTAAGCTAATAATGCATCTCCCTCAGTCAACAGATTACTTTACCAGCTTTCCGCACCTCTCTTTGGAGTCTCCTTGGTTCAGATCTATCTATCTACGGATGTAATTTATTAGCAGGATTTAAAAAATCCGTATGGTTTAATAAGCATGATTCGTGGTCGAGATTAAAAGAAACGTGATCAGACAGCTGAAGGTGATCGTGAAAGAGCACTTGACTTGGACTCAAATTATGTGAGCGTCATAGATACAAATGTGGATCTTCCATCGATGAGTTTGGTTTGCATCCTCTCTCCTGTCGTCGTAGTGCCTGCGGCTTTCCACGACATGCAGCCATTAACGACATCATCAACTGAGGTTTTGATGCAACTAGGTTCCCTTCCCAAATCGAACCCGTAGGCCTCGACCGTGGTGATGGAATGCGGTCGGATGGCATTACCATTTTCCCTTTTAAAATGGGGAAGTTGTTGATTTGGGATGCGACCTGTGCGGATACATTTTCGGTCGGTAATTTGATCAGGTCCCGCGGTTGAGCCGGGATCTGTCGCCCGGGACGCAGAGATGAAAAAAAATAGTTAAATATTCTTCTCTTGCTGATAGATTTTTTTTTTACTCCTGTGGCAGTGGAGACTTTAGGGGTTATTGGCCCTCGTTCGATGGCGTTCCTTCGGAGGAATGGCACGATTGCGTCTCGATTAAGGGACGTGCCTCGCGAAACGGAGTGGCTCTTGCAGCGTGTCTCACTGGCCATGGTTCGAGGTAATGCTTTCTCCATCATTGCGGCTGACAGAGGATAGAAAAAATTGTTTGTAGTTACTTTGTTCTAGAATTGTCATCAGTGGTCAACTGAACTTGCTGAATAAATTCAAGTGTTCCGATAAAAAAAAAAATTATTCGGTAAATAAACTTGACACATTATTTTGAAAGGCCTTTGGGCATCATGTATAATATCTCTATGGAGAATACTTGGAAGCGGACTAATACAATATTGGCAGAGTTAGGCTGAGGTGTACTTTCTCTATATATATATATAACTCGTAGGTGTCTATATGCATCTATACGATATGCATCGTTAAGCGTTCTGTACAATTGTAGGAGAACGTTCCCGGTGCGTGTGTCTGTCTATAAACATACGTTTATGTGAAGTTGTGTGAGAGAGTGTTTCCTTGTAGTTGTCTGTCGTTACGCTTTTGAGAACGTACTTTTTAGTCTTTGTCTATGTGAGTCCGAGTGAGATCTGAATGTGTCTGCATCTGCGTGTTCATGAGTGTCTGATTAAATGAACCTCGAAAGAGATCAACAGAATTACATATAACTAAATCAAGACACACGCATCGGGTTAATTTTTGCTATTTCCAAACGAATTTAAAGCTCAAGAAATTTGCATTTCTTCTGCTGATATCCGATTTAAGTTGCTTGCCCGTTCGGATGAATCGAAGCAGATAAGAATCGATAAAATTCGATTGATAAGATTAGTGTTGCGAAGACATCGACTATTTTTATTTTTCTGCTTCCAAATTTAACAGTTTCCAATCTATCTATCTATCTATCTATCTATCTATCTATCTATCTATCTATCTATCTCCTGTATTGCTTCTCTCTATAATTCTATATTTTATATTCTGTTTCTATCTGTCCGTCTATCTCTTTCAGATTCATTTTATCATTCTTTTATTTCCGTTCTTTTTTAATTCTGTTTCTTTCATTCTGTCTCTAACTGTCTCCCTCTCGTTTTGCCTTTCGCTCTAATCACACGCTTTACATTCTTTCTTCTTTTCTTTCTTTCTTTTTTTCTTTCTTTTTAGGCCTGTTTCTTTATCTCGCTCTGTTTCTATCTGCCTGTCTCTCTCTCTCTCTTTCTGCTTTACTCATTTCGCTCTTTACCTTCTTACTTTCTCTTTCTGTTTTTCATTTTTGCTTTCGTTCTTTCTTTGTTTTTTTTTCCAATTCTGTTTCTCTCATTATGTTTCTATATCTCTATCTATTTATCTATCTCTTCACCATTATGTTTCTCTTTCTCTCTCTTTCTCTCTCTCTCTCTCTCTCTCTCTCACTTCGCCCTTTTTCTTTTTTTCTATCTTACTTGCTTTTTAATTATGTTTCCGCTCTAATTCGTTCTTCCTAGAGAGAAAGCTTGAAAGACTATTTTCATCTTATTTCATCTAATAATAATAATATTTCATCTGTTGCCATTTATACAATGTTATATCTATCTATCTATCTATCTATCTATCTATCTATCTATCTATCTATCTATCTATCGTAACCTGTCCATTATCTATCTATCGTAACCTGTTCATTATCTATCTATCTGGACTAATATGTTCATTATCTATCTATCTATCTATCTATCTATCTATATATATATATATATATATATATATATATATATATATATATATATATATCATAATCTGTTCAAATATATTTATCTATCTTACTCTGTTCAATGTATATCTGTCCATGTATATATGTATCTATCTGTATTAAACTCTCCAAATCTCTCTATTCTACTCATTGCATGCATCTATCTATCTATCTATCTATCTATCTATCTATCTATCTATCTATTATACTCATTGAATCTATCTATTTTTATATTTATCTATTCTACTCTGTGTAACTATCTATCTATTTATCGATAGATTTATCTACCTTTTTCTAATCATTGCATTTATGTGTCTATTCTACTCATTTCAACTCTCTCTCTCTCTTTCTCTCTCTCTCTCGCTATCCCCCTCTCTCTCTCTCTATTCTAATCATTGCATCTATTTAACTATTTATTTTACTCATTGCATTTATCAATCTATCTATTCTACTTATTACATCTATCTATCTATCTATCTATCTTTATATCTTTCTTACTCAGTGTAACTATCTATCTATCTTTCGGTCGCTTTATATATCTATTCTGCTCATTGCAACTATTTAACTATCTATTTATCTATTCTACTCATTGGATCTTTCTATCTATTTTTATATCTAATGTGTAATTATTTATCTATCTATTCTACTCATTGCAACTATTTAACTATTTATCTATTTTACACATTGCATTTATCAGTCTATCTTTTCTACTCATTTCATCTATCTATATCTATCTATCTATCTATCTATCTCTCTCTCTCTCTCTCTCTCTATATATATATATATATATATATATATATATATATATATATATATATACTAACGTGTATATGCGCATAAACTCTAATTAACTCTTTTAAGTTTACTAATGCAGTCGTGAACTCATCAAATTCCAAGTTTTTGGGGTGTTTTTTTTTTTTAAACTCAATCACTCGGTTTATTTGCAAATATTTTTCTTATCCTCATCAGATATTTTCGTCGAGTAAATTAATGTCAGTTTTATGTCCACACATGTGATTAATAAAACGTTCGGTGCCACAGGCAAAATTCACAATTGCGGTCGAATTGACGAAAATGGAAAAAAAAATCTTTTAAGAAGCCGAGCTCATAAGCCTGACAGTGATTACACATTCCTGTTAACTTGAATGAATTTTTCAATTTATGCTCTCTTGAGTTAAATTTAATGACGATTCCATCAGCATAACCAGATATCGGTTTTACTATCTATCTATCTATCTATCTATCTATCTATCTATCTATCTCACGGTCTGTATCATATATATGTATATAGATAGGTATGTATGGGTGCATCTCGGTTTGTCTTACATCTAACTATCTATAAATCTATGTATCTCTCTGTCACGATTTGTTCATATCTATATCTCTCTATCTGTTCAACAGTTGGAGGATGAGCATCAGGAAAAAAATCGAAAGATACAGGAACTTATATGTTTATTTTCTTTATTGCCTACCTTCATTCGAATTATCTAACGGTATTTTATCTCTGTTTATATCAATAGTAGTCATCTACATCGACCAATCTGCCTTTATCTATCTATCTATCTATCTATCTATCATTGTGTTCACAGCGATATCTATCTGTCTATCTCATTATGTTCACTACGATATCTATCTATCTATATCTCGTGTTCACAGTGATATCTATCTATCTATCTATCTATCTAGTTATCTAGCTATCGATCTATCTCCCATTGTGTTCACAGTGATATCTATCTATCTATCTATCTATCTATCTATCTATCTATCTATCTATCTAATTGTATTCACAGCGATATCTATCTATCTAAGTCTGTTCATACATATAACAGTCTGTTTCTATCTATCTACTTATCTATCTATCTATCTATTTATCTATCAGGACATCCCATAAGTTCTCTCCAAATTTTAACTTTTTGTTAAAATGAACGAAATTTTAAGAGTATTTTATAATGTCTAATGGAGCTGAACATTATTTTTATGTTTAGATGCATTTAAACTGATCAAATTTTATTTCAGAGAACAATAAAATTAAATTTTGTTTGATTAAAACCCTGCTAACATGGAAGTACCCAAAAATCATTTCAGGCACATAATGCTTTATGAGTTCAAGAAAGGAAACTCAGCAGCCAAAGCGGCTAGAAACATTCACTCAGTTTATGAAGAGGAATGTGTGAATGAAAGAACTTGCAGAAGATGGTTTGCAAAATTCAGAGGTGGAGATTTCACCTTTGAAGATGAAGATTGAACCGGACGTCCAGTTGAGTTTGATGAAAATCCTGCTTTATCAGTTGAAGAATTGGCAGTGGTTCTCAGTTCAAACCATACAACTGTTCATCATCATCTTCAACAACTTGGAAAAGTTCCTAAACTTGGAAAATGTGTGCCTTATGAATTGTCTGAAAACAACCTCAAATCCCGAGTTGACATCTGCTAATCTCTCCATTCTCGCCAACTCGTTTCACCTTTTTTGGATAGACTTGTGACTGGTGACGAAAAATAGTTCTTTTATCGAAATGTTAAGCGTTGTAGACAGTGGCTTTGTAAAAGGGAAGGACCCCAGCCACAGCCGAGAAGGGAACTTCATGGGCAAAAGGTTCTTCTTTCAATCTGGTGGGATCGCCAAAGAATAATCCACTTTGATTTCTTACCACCTAATGCAACAATTAATGCTCAAATATACTGTCAGCAATTAGAAGCGTTTGAACCATGCTTTGAGGGAAAAAAGACCTGCTCTAGTGAATCGAAAAGAGGTGATGTTTCATCAGGACAATGCGCGACCCCACACAGCATGAATCACGTCACAAAAGATCAAAGTACTTGGTTGGGAGAAAATTCCTCACCCACCTTAATATCCCGATCTTGCTCCTTCAGACTACCATTTGTTTCATAGCTTACAGAATCATTTGGAAGAAACAGCTTTTGCAACACAGGAAGAGGTCAAAACTGACATTTGTGAGTTCTTCGAATCAAAGCCAAAAGAATTTGTCAGTAATGGAATTAGTAAGCTTGTTAATAGATGGAAGGAAGTCATAGATAATCAGGGAAAATACATTGTTGATTGAATCTGTAATTAAATGTAACATTTGGTCACTTGTTTTATTTATTCAAAATTCGGACAGAACTTATGGGATGGCCTGATAATTCTGTTTCTTTGTTTCTCAGTCTGTTCAAATTTACCTCATGCTATTTTATTCTTTAGTCGATCACCGCTATACCCAGTTAACCTGCCATCTTCACTCCCTGCAAAGCCTGCGTACTAGAGGCATTCCCGCCTTGCTTAGGTTGAAATTATTTTTCTTTTAAATCTATCTTATTCTATTTATTTTCCTTATCCATGTACCAGAGCCTGCTTCCATCTATCTATCTATCTATCTATCTATCTATATATATATATATATATATATATATATATATATATATATATGTATTTCCTCTTTTTACAGTAATGTTCACCATGTTCAAGACCTGGGGCCACTCAAGGTAGAGGGTTACGATGAGGTAGTTTATACGGATAGGAAGGGAAGATAACGATTGACTCTAGATTTGAACAGGTTAAGAATGTAATGATCAGGGGAAAATCCTCTGGGGAGTCGGTTCCATAATGCTGTGGTTCGTGGGAAGAAGCTGTTTGGGTGGGACTTCCTTCTCGCCGTTGGAATACGGAGGCAATGTGAGTGATTTGATATCATGTAAGTGGCATGGCGGTTCCTAGCCGTGAAAGTTAGATCTGGCGGACCCAAGTAATCTAGTTCATCCGAGAACTTTCCATGGTAGTAGAAATACAGCAGTGAGAGACTCGCCACATCCCTCCTGTGAGAGAGAGGTTGGAGGGTAGAAAATAATTCTTCTCTAAAAAGGACTCGGATATGCTTTTAACTCATAAGGACTGTAATGTGAGGACCGGTTTGCATCCGTCCAAATATGTCAACAGTACTCATATTTTCGGCCTGATCTGACTTTAATGAAAGTAGAGGATAGCAGAGTGTGTCAGTTACTGTTGTGGATTCCGGGATGAAATCCGGTCTCAAAATGAATGACAAACGCAGGAATGAAATATAGCAAATAAATGTATTGACGTAATAATACAATTGGTAATACGGTTAGTAGATCCAGAAATGTGGTTAGTTGCAACAATAATACTAATATATATATATATATATATATATATATATATATATATATATATATATATATAGTCTGGGAAATTCACTATCGAAGTAGGACTTCCTTCTGAGTCTACGTGCTCGCAGCTGTGACTCCTACAAAGCGGTTACCTCACACTCTTACTCTCTCACTGTTTCACTTTATCAGTGTATCTCTCCCGGGTAGTCACCAGCACACACTGGTCGAGCCCACTTGTATAAAAAATGGGTGGACCCCATAACAGTTACTTACTGAAGCGGTACAGGAAATTAATTATTTTACCTGCATCTTTAGCGATGGATATATGTTCCACTTGAGTTTGAGGCCCAATATCCTCTCAAGGCACAAGGTCTCTTCGATGTGACATCCGTTCACGGGGATTGGCGGTACTTCGTGGTCAGATCGGTGGTGAGTAAATGTAATCAGTTTGGTTTTAGAGGATATGAATGTAAGTACCCAGTTCTTATACCACTGGAAAGTTAGTGTTTGATCGGAAAAGAGGTCAGCTTCCAATCATTGATCGTCAAGAGTTTTAGTGGTGCGTCCCTATATCGTCGAATTATCGGCATAAAAGTTTACAAGAGTATATTCTTAGGTAGACCATTTATGTAAATCAGTAAGAGGACTAGTCCAAGAAGTGACCCCAGGGGAACGCCTACGTTGACCGCCAGGGCCTCTAAGGATTGGTTAATAATTACATTCAGGGATATACTTCTAAGGATGAATGTATGTTTGTTTGTTTTCTTATCTATGTAT